TCATGCGTATCATATAATATTTTATATATATATATACATATCCCACACATTCCCAAACACCGAAACTCACAAAGGTACTTGGAGCCCAAAAGGGAACCTCACCAGCCCACACCGGAAAACGCTCCGCGCTCCTCCGGCTGCACCCCCATCGCCTGGGTGCGGAGAAGGCCGGTCACAGCGGGTCCTCAGCCTCGCCTCTGGCGTACGCTACAAGTTCTTGCGTAAAACCGGGTCTTGGTGTTATGATTTTGTATGACCAAATCAAGTTAAATGAGATCCTTGACCCGACCCTGGAGGTCTTTCCCATTGGCGTGACTTGTAAGTATTTGGGGCTGACGTGTTCTGGGGAAACATGGATGACTCTGGGTATTTTGTGGGTGCCACACCAGAAAGCACTCTTCTCAGAAAACCCCTTCGTGACATCCATCCTTGACAGCTGCAGCAACATGGATTTGGGTCTTCAACCCCCAAAAAACAACAGCAGCTTGACATACCAGCCCGAAACACATATATAGACCCCTTAAAACGACCCCTTCCAAAATTCCGTTCGACGCCGACACCATGGCTTTCCTCTCCAACCTTCAGTGTTCAACCTACCAGGACCGAAACCGTTCGTCCGGTGGTGTTTGGACACCCCTTAAGTCCCTTAAGCTCTGAAAAGAGGCTATTGATGGTCGACACCTCTGGTGTCGGTCCTTAGGGGCCCATCATCCCCCACGGCAGATCGGCCCTCCGGCCACCGCCAGTTCGGCCGCCAGGGCGTCCTGGGGGCGCTCCGAGCGGATACCAGTGATACCAGGGAGGTGCGCACTGCGGCAGACGAAGATGAGCATGTTGAACATACGAACTAAAACATACACCCCAATTTTTTGGATCCACTGCCACCTTCTGAGAGGGTGGTTGTGTTCAACACCTTTCTGTAAGCCGTGCAAACGCCTGCGAAACGGAGCTAGAGATCTTGGATCTAGTAACCTAGTAGGGTTGGTTTGTGTAAGAATCTCCTCCTCCTTTTGAAAATTCTTCATCGATGCCCGAAACTTGGAGAATCGGTGTCAATCCGTCAATCGCAGCCATAAACTGTTCAACGAGCAGTTCTCACGCGAGGTTCTGCGCACCTGGATGTCCTCCAAATGAGCAGGAAACCCATGCATCTGTCTTTCTCTGATGGTGGTAAGATTTGGATTGTATGATGCTGTAGAATCTACCATGGGAAGCTTTGGATTTGCCACACAGGACTGCCAAAGGGCGAAGGACATGATTCCAGTATCACCCAAAAGAATCCCATGCCACCTAAAATAGTTCATCTACACTCACCTCTTTCCTTGGCTCGACAAGCCGACAAGCCTGCCACAAAATGGACACCCTCTAGGGCAAAGGGACATTCTCAAGAGCTGGGTGATTTGGTCATTCACCTGACTTTCTCCAGAAATCATCTTTCAAATCCCAAGGTCTGAGACCCTGGTCTGAGGATGTCTGAGGCCATTGAGCTCCACATCCAGAAAAAACTGGGGATCCCCTGCAAACCAAAAAAGAACACCTGCAAATGTTGATCCAATGAGATCCGCAAAAACCCGTGAGTGGTGCGCCTTTTGGCATGGATTTCTGAAAAACCCTGAGGGCATTCTAGGGAGATAGTCTACTGATTCATGTTCATCTATCTACATCAACAGGTTAGGCTGAAACATTATCCAAATGAATCCGGCTTCGATGTGCTTCCAGCCGACGTCCAGAGCTGCCAGCCGACGTCCGAGCCTCCGGCGTTCTCTTCCGCCGGGACTCCAGGTGACGAACACGAGCGTGGCGTCCGCATGAGCGGCTGTGGACAGGTAGGCGAAGGCAAGCAGCAGGTGAACCTGCTTCTATCTAAACGTTGGCCATACTGTAGAATCTCAAGCTGCACTACACAGCTTCTGACACGTGGCTGTGAAAAGGGACCGCGCTGCAAAAGAAATCGTGGCGAACTGCTTTACTGTCAAACAAGGCATGGCTTCAAGCAACTCCAATACTTCCAAACCCTGGTTGCCTTTCTCACAGGCATTGATAACTGCATTGTAGCTGATAACAGTGGGCTGCACTGTCGCCCTTGGCATGGCCACAAACAACAACAATGCCTGCTGCCACTTGCCACCGTTGTCACAGGCACTGATGGCAGCATTGTAGGTAATGACATTCGGCAGTACTTTCGCAGCTGGCATCGCCACAAATAGCAACAAAGCCTGCTCCCACCTGCCGGCCTTCTCACAGGCACTGATGGCTGCACTATAGCCAATGACGGTACGGTGCACTTTCGCCACTGGCATGGCTTCAAGCAATATCAGTGCTTGCCGCCACCTGCCGTCCTTCTCACACGCACTGATGGCTGCACTGTAGCTAACGACATTCGGCTGCACATTCTTCCGAGCCATGTCTTCAAGCAACTTCAATGCCTGCTGCCAATGGCCGCCCTTCTCGCAGGCACTGATGGCTGCACTGTAGCTAATGACATTTGGCTCCACCATGGCCTCCGGCATGGCCTCAAACAATTTCAATGCCTGCTGCCACTGCCCACCCTTCTCACATGCGCTGACAGCTGCACTGTAGCTGACCACATCTGGCGTCATTTCAGCCACCAACATGGCTTCAAGTAAATACAATGATTGCTGCCACTTGCCGCCCTTCTCAAAGGCACTGATTGCAGCATTGTTGCTGATAACATCTGGCTGTACTTGTGCATCGGGCATCGCATTAAACAGCATCAATGCCTGCTGCCACCTGTCGCCTTTCTCACAGGAACTGATGGCTGCATTGTAGCTGACGACATCTGGCTGCAGTTTTGCACCCGGCATCGCCTTAAACAACATCAATGCCTGCTGCCACTGGCCGCCCTTCTCGCAGGCACTCATGGCAGCATTGTAGGTGATGACATTTGGCTGCACTTTCGCTTCGGGCATGGCCTCAAACAACATCAACGCCTGCTGCCACTGGCCGCCCTTCTCACAGGCACTGATGGCGGCACTGTAGCTGATTACATTTGGCTGCAGCATGGCGCGTGGCATTGCATGAAACAACATCAGTGCCTGCTGCCACTGCCCGCCTTTCTCACAGGCACTGACAGCTGTACTGTAGCTGATCACGTCTAGAAGCAGCTCTGCCTCTGGCATGGCTTCAAACAATATCAGTGCTTGCTGCCACTTGCCGCCCTTCTCACAGGCACTTATTGCAGCATTGTAGCTAATAACATCTGGCTGCACTTTCCCCTCTGACATATCCTCAAGCAATTGCAACGCCTGCCGCCATCGTTTTATTTTAGCGTAGGCCGAAATACCAATATTGTAATCGGACAGGTTCAGTTGGATGGTGCCATTCTGCCTGATAGCTTCAAAGGTGGCAACGACCAACTTGTGTCCCTTCTTTTGCCGGCGACAGTGTAGCAACACTTGCTGGAGGATCTCCTTTGACCGAATCACTTCCGGCAGGACTGCCCTGAGATTTCCTTGGGTGTGGCCGTTGTCACCAATACCCAAAACAACCTCACGGTGCATGTCGCTGAGTCCGGTCAATCGGTCCGACCGAAGCAGGAGACTGATTTCGAGATGATTCTGGTGAGATCTGACAGCTTCTCTAACATGTTCAGTTCTGAAAGCATGCAACGTCATTCCAGTTATTCCAACATAATGCCCAGGTCCACTCTGATCATGTAAACAAAAAATTACCTCAACAAAAATCTGGCTGCCTTCACAGAAACAGTGATCCCAGAAGGAAACAGTGATGCAGAAAATAGAAACAGTGATCCCAGAAGGGGACTTACCCACAGGGACCATATAAAAATATCATAAGCAAAACCATGATGGGTGTGGTACACAGTCGTGAAAGCAACCAAACCAGTCCGTCTGGATAGTGACCAACCAGCTTTGAGCCAGGTACGCGCTGCGTCTCTTGCATGGGGAGAAGCGGTGATATACATTCGGTCTATCTTACCAGTAACAATGTGGTTTTTCTGCTTTCAATCTTATCTGGGTACGTTTTGTAGCAACCCTCCAAGGATTCTTAAGGTTCCGAGCAGGCAGTACCAGTAACACTGGATGACGGGGTCTCAGGCCTTTCCAAATCAAAGCATGTTCGATGATGTTCGTGTGACACCTGACGGCTTCCAGGTTGTCCGTCAGGACAGACTCATACAGCTCCCCAGTCAAAGGCGGGTCGAGTATAGGGAATTCGCATGTGCAATGATGCATTCATCCACCCTTCCCGGATTTGGAACCGCTCTCCTCGCGAAGGGTCACGGTGTCTGGTCCAACCACGGTGTCGCTGTGCAGTCGACCATCCAAACCCACTAGCCCAAACCATCTATGATTGATAAGGAAGAGTTACCCATACATTGGGATAGCTGAAGTTTGGGGTCTTTCTGGGGCGCAGCAAATCTTCCCACCAACAACTAGGGTCTGAAAGGTAAATGCGAAAGCCCTCCCAGTCCTGTTGTCCACCTGTTCTTTGGGGAAACAAACCCACCAAACAGCCAAGGCGAGCACAGTTTCCAAAACTTTTGTCCCTGTCCTATCACTTATCTCTGACCGCTTGCGAATCCGCGGCGTACCGTACCCGGCATAGCAGTGTAGCGCATACACCCTCCTGTCCTATCACTTAAAAGTGTGCATTGAATGAGGTACACTCCCGAAGACTCACATGGAGAGACAGAACGGCACTCTGGTCGTCCACCCGTTTTCCTTTAGCGGCACCAGTGGTTTTCAAAGGTTTTTTACGGGTTCCTCCCATCAAACTCACTGGTTCCGAGGCTGAGCGATCGAGGCGACCGATGGACCAGGGGATGGCCACCCCCTTGCGGGTTGAAGCCAAGCCAGGGCCCCACCACCGGAGACGGTGTAAGTAATCATCCAATGTAGCTACGGTACCTTGTTGTGGGGGATGCATAGGTTGTTTCAATCACTGCTTAGATCAAAAGAATCTTTGTGGCATTTTGTGTTTTATAGATGTATATATATATAATATATGTATATATAGTGTGCTGCTCATGATCGACAAAATCCACCCCTTGCCCATGAGCCATTTGTTGTCCATCATGCGACGGCCAGTCCAGTGTCAGTGATAGTCATCCCACTGACAATGATTCCGCAAAAGCCTTGATCTCAAGAAGCCAGTGGCGTCCGGTGTTTTTGGTTCTCGTTGTAGCTTCTGCAGTTCCAGATGTAGCCCCTGAAGCAGTTCCCACGTCCTTTGCCGAAGTTCTGCATCGCTCAACATGGCTTCGTTCGCCCGCATTTCGTCCCCTAGCGTCCAAATAGGCACCCCCAGCGTCACCATCAAGTGCTCAACGGCGCCCACAAGCAAATCGATAGCACATGGTGTTTCCGGCTCGTAGGCTAACAGCCTTGGATCTGGAAACCAGAAACTGGGAACAGCACTTCCAAAGGAGTGGTGTTTAGTCCCAAGTGAGTGGATGATGGCGGGACCTCTCTGGAATGGCTGATGGCCAAACATCCTTGGAACGGGAACTAGAGCTGGGATCTGGTCAAAGCAAGAAAACCCTGCTCAAACAAAGCACCAGACCAAACCTATGTACTGCCAAACATTCTGCACGGTAACCTCAGAAGCAAACTAACAAATACAACGAACATATCCCGCAGTCAAGGACCCTGTTAACAAGGGGAATGACAGAAGTTAAGGTCGATAAGTCATCCCACCATATCCCACCTACACTCCAGTCTAGGCATCTGCAGTACGCAACCCGCCCAAACCCGCAACAGCATGTATAAATCACAAAATCGGCGGTTCTTCCCAAGAACAAGTTCTTTCATCTAAAGAATCTTGAACACCATGGACCATACACACTGTTTGACTGACAAACAGCTTGGGCGTTTTTGGTTTCCAGGAACAGGAATGGATCCCAAAACTGCCAGGCAACTCTTCGGTTCGTGGATCTGAGCACCCGGATGCCATGTGCTTGGCCCAGAAAGTGTCTCGCAAGCCCTCGTGCTGCAAGCACAGCGCCATCTCAATGTGAAGGCCCGTCATGGGATGTTTCAGTTTTTCTTCTGCCACTTTCGATTCCTTGGGTTTGATCACGGGGGTGTTGAGTTGCATGTTGTCTTCACACTTGCTCAGGGGGAGCATTATCCCTTTGCTTTGTTTTCAATCCTAAAACCACTTCAGGAATCATGTTATCAGCATGCCAGCAGGGGGTAGCTCAATTATTCACCAAATTGGATGGGACAATCTGCAAAGATGACTTTATTGACAAACCCATGAATGGGACATAATGGGACAATCTGCAGAAATGACTTTATCGACAAACCCATGAATCATTTGCTTCATCCAGAACAATCCTCTCCATGCCGCCTCCAAATTCCTCGGGCAACTCGACAAGCAGCATCTTCACATGTTTCACGGCTCCAGGGACTGTGCCATGCTTGCGAATAGGAGGACAATATTCGTTCCACTCCTTCAGCATGCGCACCACTAAGCCTCAGCGAAGCAGGCTGAGAAACCTCACAAGCACGCATCCCGTTTCTGTGGGGTGGTATCCTTCTACATCCTACCATTGGTTGGTCATGGGCGTTCGACATGTCAAAAGGCGGTTGTTTTATAGTGGGTCGAGAGTAGATGGCACAATCCCCAAGTTGGGTGGTTTATATGGACCCCTAGTTGTCAAAGACATCTTGGGGTGCCAGTGCCATCGAACCCCTCAATCCACTGTAGATTTCTGAGAAGCTGTAGTACATCTGTCTGGTCTCCGCCTCTTGAGTCAGTATTGCCAGCTGATCTGGATTGTTCTTCCTCCAGCGATTCAGCACGCGGTCAAAAACCAGAATGGCTCCAGGTTCAAGTGCGCCGTCTGCATCAGTGGCATTGTAAGCCAGCACGAAATCCATGCATTCATCCTGGCACCAGCCACCTTCTTCAACTGATAGCTTGAGCTCGACACCACATCGTCCCTCTGTAAAGGTAAACTTGTTGTCACCTTTCTCCAGAATAAGACCCATGTAATGCAGGTCATCGGTGTGGATGTGGGAAACCACGTATTCATACAGCACTTGGGTCAGGCCTGCAAAAGATTCAGCCCCTTTGGCACGCAACCACTGGCGATCGCACAACAACACAACATCCAAGTCAGAAGGATGAGAGTGGGAAACTGTCAGGAAGGTGCTTCTTGACGAAGAGCCTTGGAAGAAGTAACTTGCTGCTGGAATCTCTGACTGCTCAATGATGTGTTCAGCAATCCTACTAGCTCGCTGTCTTTGGCTGGAAACACTACCAGTAGCCTCTCTGCCACCAGCTGCGGCTCCAAAATCTCGTAAGATGTCCTCCTCAAGTTGCATTCGGCGATGTGCGTTCCAAGCGGTCTCTTCATCGACACTCCTCCTTCCGTACATGCGAATGTGCGTTCGACGGCCTCGACGTCTGCAAAGCGCCCAGGGCCCCAAACATGCGCCGACAAGAAGTCGATGCAAGGCGGATGAGGGTTGATGAGCTCCAAAAAACTGAGTTGAGGTGAAAATGGCTGTCAACAGCCACAGCTTCACTGAGAAAAGCCTTACTAGATCGCTCTTCGGCCGCATGTTGAGCCCTCCAGCTGCAGTGTGAGACTATCTAGTCTTGCCACGTTGATGGTGGGTGTCTTTAGAAACCTGGGTGTAGGTGATCCCAACATTAATGTTATGTTGCAGAAACTTGTTGTGTCTTATGGTATATCTATTTGGCTACTGCAAACCTCCTCAAACAAAGTACTTACAAGCTCGACTTGGATTCAACGCGAGGAAATGCGAACATCCAAATCCAAGGTGTCTCACCCTGAAACTCCGTGAAAGTACATTTGCGTACCCTGGCTGAGCCTGGCTGCCTTAAACATGAATAGTTCAGCCATCACCCAGCACAACCCCTTCTGATACCATGGCAAATTCTGCGGCTTTAGTGAAGAATTGCAGCTCCAAACTCACCCTCAAATGGAGGAAAGTGGGTTGAGCAGGCTTATGATTCCTTAGCTTTCAGAGCAAATACACTGTCGATGCAGGTCGCTGATGTATTGTTTGGTCTCTCTGTCCGCATCTGTTGAAAGGAACCAGGTTGAGGTTGAACCGTTCCAAGTGGTCAGATCGACAACATGCAATCATGCCATGGTGCCTCGACCAATCTTCGCCCACATTGGTTGAGTCAGGTCCTAGTTTCATCTCCTCTAGTCCCTCTAGTCGTGCCGATTAGGGGGCCTATGAAGCCGACTCTGTCAGGCCGGCGTGTTCTCAGTGGAGACACCAACTCCTCGTTCCACACACCTGCAAAGTCCAACTTCTTATCACTGCGGAGCGACTGGAAGATTTGGTGACGTATGGTAGTATGAAGTAGCATTGGTATTAGCATTATTATCATTATCCAAAACAAATTCTGAGAAGGTGGGATGGGAGATTGAGATAGATCTGGAGTCCAAGCCCACCCTGTGATGTGTTGATGGACCTGAATCAAGTCGAACCCGCCAAGCCCACACATGTCCCGTCTGCCAGTCCACCCGTCCCCTCCGCCAAGGAACGGGTCCTGCACTCGGGCGATGTAGCGCTTCTGCTTGGCGAGGTCCATGAGCCCTAAATCCAGTTCAAAGGGCCTCAGATCCGATCGGGTCCGTCAGATGACCGACCTGGAGAGGTGGGGTCCGGCAGTGGTAGAGGCAAGGCAACAGAACTGCATGGCCTGCTGCAATGCGCAAGTGGCCAGTGGCCTGCAATTTCTGGCAATGCTAACATGTCAAATCAAATGTGGTGAAGGGGGAAAGCTCCAAGGTCAGTGTGGTACTAGTAGGGTCAAAGGCGGCAAAGAGTGTGGGAAGGGAAAAGGGAAGTTGGGAAAAGGATAAACAAGGAAAGGGGAAAGCAAATTGAAGTCATTCCTGGCACCTGTCCTGACACCGTTGAGCATGATTGCATGACTAAAACAACACTGAAGGTGGGAAATGTAGCGCGCCAAAGGGGAAAGAACATGGAAAATGATGGAGAAGGTGGCATGGGGTTGCCGAGGGCGGACCTGGCGGAGGGAAGGTTGAGGGCTGGCGGGACAGAGTTCACAGTTTCAACATCAGCCTCGAGGGCCTTGTGCCTGAAGTTGAGGGGGGCTGACAAGCTCATTGTCTTTAGTCAAGAACCATGGATTCAAAGCCAGCTGGGTGCAGGCTTGAAGGAAAGAACTGGGCTTGACACACGCCATCGACTGGGGAGGCGTTGACTCAAAATCCACTCTGTCGCGAAAGGTCGTCACTGTCGGGCAGCAACTGTCGCTTCTCAAGGCCATCATCAGCATCAAGGTGGCACTGCGGTGAGCCCCATGGCGGTAGGAACGCATGTTGGCCTTCCCGGAGGGCAGTCTGCTGATCTTGATGAAGCCAGGTACCCTTGATAGCCGAAACTTGACTGGCAATGGTGTTGGATTTCATAGACCAAGGCGTACCTCCCAGCCGCGGCCTGGGCGTGCCCTTCTTTGTGGACGCGCTCTGACTCAAAGCTCTCTCTTTCGGTTCCTCTGTCTGGTGGGGGGTCCCTTGCCTGGTCAAACTTGGCCAGGGTGGAACCATACTCACTGCCCCCGTGCCCAATGTTTCCATGATGGCCGACACCTATGACATTGGCGCACAGGTTGGTTTAGTTTCTCCCATTGATGTGCATGATCACGACGAATTCCCATGTCCTCCCCCCAAAATACTTAGCCTTCTCATATTTATACGATGTTTAAGAATCATAACGCCTATAATGGATCAGCATACACAGAAAATAACAACACAATAAGCACACATCCAAACAAAGTTTTTGCCGACACAATGCAAGATTGGAACATTCCAAAAATAGGAAGCCCTGTGAATTCTCCACTGCCATGAGGTCGAAATGGGGTGTGACAGTTTCTGGACCACTTAAGGTCAGCCTCCCTGGTCGAACATGGTCTGCGGCATACTTTGGGGCACAGCTTGCCCAAATTGGGCCTACGTCTTAGCTCATCGTGGAGGGAACGACAGCGATAAATCTGATGTTGACAAAAGCTTTACAACCCACAGATTACATTGACCGATAGATGGACCCCCCAAAAAAAAACACACACAATAAAACACTCCGTCCAGGACGGTATATCATCCACCCCACCACCCGTCCATGACCCAGTCACGAGCTCCAGTCCAAAGCAATGGTCGAAGCCCGTTGGTTCACCTCGCTCCATGGGGCCGGGCTCCGCGGGGCTCCAGGCCGAAGGCAGAAACGATCTCCCTGATCATTCAGGATAGGGGGTGTCTTTATTCGGAGTGATATCATGTGATATCAGTGACTTGTAGAGGTTCAGTGAAATATATATATATATATATATGTGATCAGGGATATAGTGATTCAGTGAATTTTGTTTATGTGAGATGATAACGTTACTTTTTAATGGTTGAGTGAACATATGGTAGACACCACCCGTTTTCGCAGATTCCACAGATTTTTCAAGCGATTCTATTGGATTCCACTATGGATTCCAATGCCTAGCAAGTGGAAAGCAGGGGAACTTCCAAACCGTTTTCTGATTGCAGGGCAGAACTGGATACCCTTTAGCAACCCTCAGAAAGCTTCCCCCCTCAGCACGATCACGTACTGAGTGGAACAAGGGAGGGCATCCCACCTGGTCACACCTCCTTCCGACAGCTCCAGCCTCGAGTTCATCCGGCATGCCACTCCCTGACAAAGTCGATCAATCTGGGCAGTGTGATGGTTCTTTCCTCAGGGATTTCAAGGTCTTTTCTTCAGGGATTTCAAGCCACAAGTGTACCTGAAATGATCAACGCAGTAAGTAATCCAGTCCATATAGTCCACCTAGAACATCCTAGAACCTGAGTGACCCCGGTTTTGGAAGCCATGTCACTTGGTCTCAGTCAATAGTCAATCCGGTTCGAGGCAGTGATGTGCCCGGCAAAGGCCTCTTAAAATCGATCTGACCCGGTCCTCGGATCCTGAGATGACGCTGCAAGTGCTACGGCCAGGCCATCCGCAAGGCTTTAATAAGTGCCTTTCAGATTCCTCTACAAATTCCAATAATTATCTATTTGCCTAGACATACAATATGCCCAAACCTATCTATTGACCCCTTAAATCGACCATGCATAATCATCCAGCTGTTTCGTCAGATTCTGCTCACCACAGCAGAGCAGCGGTCTGCAAGAGGGGCTTCAAAAGACTTGAGTACTGTATATGGATAGTAGCTGGGTGGTCTCTACTCCCATCGCAGCATCTACATATTTTTCAACTAACATGTGCTCCACGACCAACTGCCAAAGCCCGGAAGAGCAAAGCCACTGATGGTCCTAACAAAGTACAAGGACCTTCAAAGAAACTCATCCCCAGAGTTCGGAGTGAAACCCGGGCAAACAGCACATAAAATTGAATTGGAGTAGCCAACCATCAGGCCCTCTCTACAAAGCAGGGGCCGAGCTTAGCATTTCATGTCTTACCCCTTAGGTATGGGTCTATTCGTTGCAAGGGCCAACCAATCACCCACTCCATTCCCAAATCCCAAACACTGGGGCCCCTGCTCTTGGGTCCCTGCAAGGCTGGACAGGCTGGACGGCAGCACAGTGGAAACAGTGAAACGAACCGTCCCAAATACTCCATTGGTGGGTAATTTTCTAGGGTTCCAACCATCTCCTCAGAAGATGGTTAGACCGACCCTCCAATCCCACCCCAACCATCTCCTCATGATATCCCATTCCCAGTAACAGTGGATGATGATTGTTAGTTCGTCCTCTTCCACGAAAATAGGGATGTTCTTGTTGAACCCGACTGTTACAAGAAATGGGACACCCCCCATTGTATGATGGTCTTTATACCTACATTTTGGATCTATCCTATTACCTGTAACAGTGGATGATGATGGTTAGGTTGCGGGCCTTGTTCAAGCATGATGATAATTGTTTACTGACCGTTACAGGTCATAGGACAGACCCAACCGACCCGACCACCTCCGAAATCGACCACCTCAACCTCAGCTGAGCGGTCAGCATGCCCGTCAACTGTGGTGTTTGGGCACCCCTGGGTGACGTGAGCACGCGACTTATTTGCCGTACGTTCTGGAACTATACGAATTTACGTGCTATATTGCACCTCCAACTGATCCAAAGTATGTATATATACATATATAATATACTTATTTAATCATATTTATATTGGGATTGGATACGAGATGGGTCTATGGGGGCACTTTTGGCAGTCACCAACTGGAGCACACATTGGAAACAGCAGGATTCATAACTCCATGCTCCACATTACCCCTCTTATGTCTGAAGTCCCTTCCCTCCATCTTTTGTGCTAGCCATGTGGGGTTTTCCCAAACTCCATGTATGTCCAAGACCTGCTTGACCTGCTTGCCGGGTACGATTTACTAACCTTTCAATTATTTTCAATGTATCAACTTTATGTTCTTTGTGCTAACCCAAAGGTTGAACATCCCTAGTTCGACTCTCCGTTGGGTACCCCAGTTGGTGTTGCTCCTATTTACGGTCACTTCACCTCTCCTGGAACAGCACACGTTTGCAACAACCACCCCCAGCCTGGGAGCGTGATCCTCGTGTGGGCGACTCG